TCCATTGGATACAGCGAATAATTCATCCAAGATACCGTGTAACACATCGGTTAGCCCGACGAAAGTAAAATTAGACAAATCTTCATCTTCATTATCATCATTACCCATGTTAAGTATTTACAAGCAAATGGAGTAGGCAAAAAAAGAAAAAAAAAGAAAAAAAAAAAACCCCCGCTGACCTATGGTCAGCGAAAGCTCACAAAAAATTCCCTTTCTTAATTGAATTTTTTCATCGGGAAATCCCGATTTTCAATAGGAGACTCTCACTCCTTCGGGTACCGCCCGCTGGAGGGTTAATCCGGTTAGTCTAAATTCCAAAAGGAGACTGCTAAGCATATCCGGCATTAACACGTGCAGATCTTATGCGCCTCCGCATGGACAAAACTTCACAAGGAGTTAAATTCCGCTCACGAATTCAGTGTTTCGTATAACTGCAAATGGAGATGAGAAGGAATACGCTCAAATGTTTCTTAAGGGTCTTCTATTCAAAGAATCGTCGATTATTGTGCGCTCCGCTTGATTGTAGTTTGTTCGTAATATAATGTAATCAACTAAATGAAATAATTAATCGTATCGTAATTAGCCTAATTATTTCCGCCATTTTTTCCGTAATTGTAATTTATTGTGTTATTCTTCGATTACAACTTAACATTTATGAACACTAAAGTATGTGGAAGATCTTGCCGGCGTGTCAAAAACTTCGTAGTAATCGTTTTCTGTGCAAATGCAAAGATTATGCGGTATTCATCTTTACAGTAGGATGTTACACTATGTTGTAAAACCTAGAAAATTTGTAACGTCGGTGACTACAGGTATAAAAATTCAGAAATCTGTAATTCTGGCTGATGGACTGTGCAGATAACGTGTAAAGATATTGCGAAAAAAAAGCAATGCCGGAAGCAGCACGAAAATATATAAAGAGCAATGAGCTGGCGGAAATTCTTCTTTCTAACTTCTAAAGCTTTCAGCGACGGCATTCAGAAGCGGCAAATTAGTTGGCTATCGGCAACGACAAAGGTAAATCTCTGAAAAAAACGAAAACTGAAACGCAAAAGCAGATAGGTGGCTAAGGCGAAGTTGACCGACACGATTCGAGCAGCGGTTGCTGTTAATACTCCTGTTCCTGAGCAGGGCCAACAACCGGCATGACTTTGGGGCCGTTGCGGTATTTTACGGCTTCTGCTTTCACTGCGACTGTTTGTAGAGCAGGTTTAACAGGCTGACACGGTTTTGTGGTCGTTGCGTTTAATATCTTATCGCAGTTTAAATACTGCTGTTGCCGCTGTCTCCAGAGCATTGCTGTATATTCGCGCTGTGTTTGTTAGACACGAGCTGGTTTTGATGCGCTTCAGTAAATTGGGGCCGGTAAAGTGTTTCGAGTAGGATGTTTCATGCAGTTTCGTTTACCATCCATGCCTAAGTAAATACTGTGCTGGCACCTTTAACGTTTCTGCTTCGATGATAAATTATGCTTAGTGCTTATGCTTAGTGGACCACTTTGCTCTTCACTGCTGTCGAAACAAAGTTGAGTAATTATGGTCATACAGCGAAGCTGCAAGCGAGAAAGGCTGGAAAATACGTCCGTTGCAGGCTCTTACCAGCAAAGTCATATTTGTAACGTATTTGTATAGCGATAAACCAACGTATTTGCACAATATTCATGATAAGTAGAATGTAACAACGCTAAATTCATTGCATTTCATGACCAAAGCTCCTGCTAGCTGTTGCCGAGCAGCTTCTTCTCGCGGAGCTTCCATCCGGCAAAGTTTTGCATCCAGTTCGCGGCAATGATATACATTACCACACTGCTTTTCTTTCATTCTTTAAACGTAATAAAACCACATAACGATAGAGACAACGTGCGTTACATACCTTCTATCGTCAATTTTATTTGAACCGGAAGACGCAGTTCTAACATCGAAGACGATGTTAGAACTGCCAAAAGAGGGGTCAGGGTGGTCGAATAGCCATTTCCTTCATAGCCAAAAGTTGACCAAAAAATTTACTTTTTGCACCGGAAAATTATTCTTGGTGACGACATATTTTGCCATTTCCAGAATAACTGTGTGCTATTATTTTGGATATGGCTGAGGGTGTCGTCGAGCAGGAGTTGAGAAGCGGATCCGTTTTGTCGGTTTCCAAATCGATTCCGATGTCTTTGACTTGGTATGGCCCGTTTTCTACACGTTAGTTTTTTAAGTTACAAAATTATTCGGGTTGTCTGCGTTGCCATCCGTTGTCATTCCATTGTCTTGCGTTGTTTGCCTGTTGCCTCGCCTTGTCTGACGGTTGTTTTGCGTTGTCCCGTCGTTGACGCAACTAGGAACAGGTAGACAACGCTTCGATAACGCAAGTCAATGGTTACACATAGCCAGGAAACGGCAGAACAACGGTCAGACAACGCAAGACAACGGGAAAAATGCACGTATGGCACGTTTTCTACACGTCGCATTTTTCGGCAACAAAATCCTTCATGTTGTTTTCTGTATCCCATGTTGACTTGTAGTGTCCGCCTGTAGCCATCCTGTTGACTTGGTCCATTCGAATTTTAAGATGGTTTTCCAGTTTTCAGTTGCGTTGCGTTGTCTTGCATTGCCCAACCGTTGTCTTGCGTTGTCTTGCATTGCCCAACCGTTGTCTTGCGTTGTTTACCCATTGTCTTGCGTTGTGTTCCCGTTGTCTTGCGTTGTGTTCCCGTTGTCTTGGGTTGTCGAAGCATTGTCTGCCTGTTGTCTTAAGTAGCGTCGACGGCAGGACAACGCAAAACAACGGTCAGACAACGCGAGACAACGGGTAAACAACTCAAGACAATAGATAGACAACGGGTGGTAAGGCAGATAACGCGTTTCGCAACCCAAAAAATAAGCGTGTAGAAAACGTACCATACCTATTTTTTGACTTTTACAGGTAGGACACTCATTAAACCTAAAAAACTATGTTAAGTAAATAAAAACTGGAAAAACGACAAACCGGTACTGTCACGTTATTCATGTATCGGAGCATTGCCATAGCCAACGCCAGTCCATCCCTTTTAGCAGAACTTTCAACTAAACTGATAAAAAAATAATCGCAGTGATGAACTCTGACTTCAGTTCCTGTTCCTCAACATATGCTTCGCGTTTAAAGATAAGCCGACCAACCTTACTACGCAGAATGTCTACGAAATCATCAAAAAGAAAAACAACAAAGAAAAACTCAGTCAATATTTAACATTATTATCATTCAGACTATCATTATTAATTGCTACACAGAGATGTTGGCAAGAAAAAACTTTGTTACACCAAACAAGTTTCTTGGGCTGTATAACCAGTTTTTCTTAAGTTTTGCTGCGGAACTGCTGTTACGTAAAGCAGTGTAGTAAAGCTGCTTACATGATCAGAACTATGAACTTAATTTGATAACTATGTTGTTAGGATACCAGCTTTCCGTCAACAACCAAAACCCCACCACAACGGTCTGGTAGAGACATTTTAAAGTATCTTAATGATATCTCGGCATCCAAATAGTAATTGCCCTTTTAATGTATGACATCAACGTATCGGGTAGCACTTCAAAACATCAAGCGTTGGCTGCGTTGCATACCGAGCAGCAAACTAGCAAATTGCATTACGCTGACAAAATCGGTAAACAGTTAACTATTTAGCAAAGGCAATTTTAAGCGAAGCACCGACACATGCGTTAATTTTACGTGCAGCCGCGCGCATATCGATTTTGTTCGTACATTCGGAGTCGTTACGGACCCATCATCGCACTGCATTCGTATTACGGAACCTGAGGTCGAAGTTGAAGGGTGCGGTCAGTCTGCGGATTGCAAGCAGCAGGAGCGACTTGCCGGGATGGGACTGGTAGCTGGAGCGCTGCCACAGCCTGGGCATGCCTTACATCGAGATTTGGTAGTGCAGACACTCACACCAGGAGCACAAAACAAGAAACAGCGTTTTATTTAAACATTTCTCAGATATTCGCTTTCTGTGTTCGGCGACTTGTTTACGTATTCTTATGTTAAGCTTGCAATTGTCATTGTTGGCGTAGTAATAACCATTAATTTTGTCTAGGGTTTGTACTACAGTTCTTAGCGAGGAATCTCACAGATGCTTTGTTTTGTGTTTACCGGGAGACGGCGACTTTATTTCCTGGGTTCTAACAATAAGCATAAATCAGCATACTGATAAAGCTAGCTTTTTTGCTACACACCCGAACCGGATGTTGCGCGCACACACACCGGATGTTGCGTTTTCACACCAGCGGATACTAATCTTCTCGCTACAGATTGTCATAAACCGAAACAGAAACGTGTTGGGGAGTGCGCGAAAGTGTAACCTTTCGTGCATGTTCACGAATTTGGTACCATGCACCGGCCCACTTCCCTTACTAGTTCGTCTTTTACTATTGCCAGGCTAATACTGAGCAGATTTTTATTTTCGATTTTTTTTCAGTTTTTACAGTATGTTATTGAATATGTAGCAGTTTCTTAGCAGAAAAGAACCATAAAATACTCATAAAACTGGCAAAAACAGCCAAGTAAGAGAGACTTTTGGTAAGTTTGTTAACGCTAATTTAAAGATTTCAATGCGCAAACGGGCATGCGGTTTTATTAACATAGACTGCGATGTCAAATATTCCGCCACCGCTACTTGCTACCAGTGCGACTCATCCGCTGCTTTTGTACGATACCATAATATACGCTTTCGAAGATTAAGTCTCAAACTTTCACTGCAGTTAGAACGTTATTAGTTCAGGGAGTACTGTTGCTGTTAATTTGTAGCGCTTGCCGATTGGTTTATTACGTGCAACGTCAATCAGTTATCAAAAGTCAAGTATTGTGGTTCGACAAGAATTCAGTGTAATACTGAATTCTTGTCGAACCACTTGTTATTGCTAGCCATTAATTTTCATGCAGCTCTTACCTGTTATCTTATCGCTCGACGCTCGCCGTTGCAAAATGCTCACGACTCGATTGTTTCTGCCGGACGAACGACACTTGAGATAGTGATGGAGCGCTTTAGCGGTAATCACATTATTAACGTAAGCTTATGGTGGTCTTTTCCCTATTTATTAGTAATAGCAATCGGTGGTCTTGTTTTAAACCCGCAGTTATGCTTTGATTTCTTGGAGCTTGTTATGGCTGATATCAGGTGACCGCATACTCCTTCTGAAGCAGGATCAGGAAAAGGTAACTATTCTGAACAAATACAAAGACCTTACTGCACGATACGAAAAGCCCCGTTGTTATCTCTTTGCAATAACGTGCAGTGCACGTTGCTGCAGAGAAATTACTGCGGGACAAGATTTCTGTCGTCTTATCGGAATGATACACGATTAAACTAACCTGAAACCTGGCAACGTCTTAGTGAAACGTCTGAACGAGAGTGGAAAGATGCTGCTACTCGGTGATTTGGTCTATTTGGCTCACATGTAGGAAAGTATTACTAATTCTGGAGACATCTTGCAACTGCGTGGATTAGGAAAGCTATCTGTCACCGGAACCGCTTAAAAAATTCGGTCAGTTTGAGCAGGTAGATCCCGAAAGACAAACCGAATCTGGATTTCGGGTTGCATAATGCCTGAGGTCAACGTTATACGGAAATTAAAAACCATCATTTCGTATATTCACAATAAAATGCCACTCAACTATCGATTCAAATGTGACGTTATGTGCGGTAGAACAAAGCAGCAAAAAACTGTTTTAACTAATTTTTGTCATTTCTTTTCAAAAAATTCGTACGAAACATTTTTTAAAATTAAGCAAGCAGCGGAAAACTGCAAATCTTCAGGATTTTTAAACTCGGAAAATATTGAATGCTAAGCGCTGCGCTCCGGTCTTCCAATGGGCCTATCGGTGCATTTTCCTAGTAATACGATAATGCTTGTTTTCTGAGTGCGACCATTTGTTGAAACGTTCTGTCCATTTCCTTTCTCTTTTACAGACTTCGCTTTCACTCGCGGTCCGACCGCTTACAGATTACACTTTCTCGTTCCGACAACCTGTCTGCACTAGTAAACCTTCCCAGCGCGCGGTTACATTTGAATGGTAGCGACGGCAGGCTTTGCCAGTGAAAATACTGGAATCCATATCGTATGGCTCACTTTTAATGCTCATCCTTCGTAAACTACGAAGCAAATACGCTAAAACAGTAATTTAAGATATGTGAAAAAAAATTATAAATTTTTCAAGCCTAAGTAAGTGACAATTCATGGAAATCAAAAGAAGTTATAGACATCGGCGATTTTTCGTGCGCTTAAGGGATTTGGCCCGGTACATAGCACCAAATTCGTGTACATATACGGGAATATTCGCTTTCGCGCACTTCCAATCACTTTTTTGGATTGCTTTTTGACAATGTGTCGACAAATGATTTGTATACATAGGCGTGAAATCCGTTTTCGCGCGCAACATCCGGTTGCGCATTATGAGGGTAGCAAAATTCCAAAAAGCTTAAATGCATTTAGTTGTACCAAAAGTCTCATTATGGACCGATCCCTTTCAAATTTTGCACGTAAATGCACATAACCATGAAGATCGTTCTTACACGGATCCAGACTTCCAAGATTTTTCTCGAATTTTAGAATAAATTTTAAATTTTTTGAAATTCATTTTAAAATTTGAAAATCATGCTAGAACAGTGGATCGGTGTAAGAACGATCTTCATGGTTATGCGCATTTACCTGCAAAATGTGAAAGGGATCGGTCCATAATGAAACTTTTGGTACACCTGAATGCATTTAAACTTTTTGGATTTTTCTAACAGCCATAACTCCCGAACCGGATATTGTGCGCAAAAACGGATTTCACGCCTATGTATACAAATCTTTTGGCTACAAAATACCATAAAGCAATGCAAAAACGTATTTGGTAGTGCGCGACAGCGAAAGTTACCGTGTATGTACACGAATTTGGTGCTATGTACCGGGCCAAATCCTTTAAGTATACAATCAACGGCGAAGCTGTCTATGTGAAGGAAAATGACTATTACTTTTCTTAATCGCCATAAATTTGCACTTATTTGGAATCAAAAATCTTGTAAATTTTTCTCCATCTTTTAGTTTGAAGTGAGCGAATGATGCAGATTTAACAGTAAGCGAAGGCTTCGCTACGTAGGAAATGTAATTAATGCGCGCAGGGGGGTTTACTAATGCAGACAGGTGGACGGAACGTGAAAGTGTATTCTGTGAGCGGTCGGAACGCGAGTAAAAGCGAAGAATTCCATGTGTCATACCGGCAACGCGTCGAGCGCGGGTTGCTATCGCAGGTGAGAGCGGTATTTACTGCGGCTGCCACAGCGCGCAATTCCTCTCTGCATGCATGAGAAATGATTAACTTCGAATACATAGGCTCGGTTATCAGTCTTTGCAACTTTGTTTGTTTTCTGGTTGTTATCATTTTCTTGCTTAACATCCTGAGAGAGAATTTATACTGTTGACTTAGCAGCGCCGTTGGAAAATGAAAGAAGCCGAGACAGTTGGCCATATCTTTTTCATCATAGCAACTTTCCTTGCACTTGGCAGGTCTCATTGTCTCGCTCTCTTAAAGTGAAAACATTCTCGCTGTTTATTAAAATTCATAAACACTTCAACTGTAGGAAAAATCGCGTACGCTAAAACAGATTCTGCTGCTGTTGTGTCCATCGCGTTTCAGCCACATTCTCGAGTCCCGAATAATTTTTTGGAGAAAATAAGTTTTTGTTTAAATTTTACTCAAACCGTGGTTTTGGTCAAATATTTAAAGGAACAATTACGTCTCCGGCCTTTTGGCGCTTTCTTCCTTTGCCGTGCTTAGTATCGCTGGAAAAGCCAGCAACATCCTCCCAAAAAAAAATTTCATATTTCGCGTTTGATATAATTTCTGCATCAGCTATTTTATTGATTGCCATAACTGTTTTTTGTAAATTGAGAATGTTTCTTAGGATCGTTGGCAGTAGTTACAGTTACGAAATCGGATCATATATCGGAAGCGAAGGGAATGGGACGGCATACAAAGCTTTGATAAAGGATCGTGGTGATCTTACTGGAAGCGGAGAATCAGCAGTAAAAGTTATACACTCGCATTACCAAGATTGGGTAGAACTTGAACGACTTGAACGAACGAGGGTGCCTAGAATGAGAAAACTGTTGGAATTAGATCATCCTTATTTGGTAAAGTGCCACAAGATAACCTTTGAGCGAAAAGACGACAGTCGCTTTGCCGTTGAACTGCTCATGGATTACTTTGCCGGTAAGCAAGAAAACTTTAGAAAGGCATACAGGTACTTATAACCATGTTGGAGTTTTTTCGTGATTTGCTCCCTTGTGCATAAATGGAAATCTGGAAGAATTACTGCGTCGAATCCAGAAAACGGCACAAGAAAGAGGGTGTCTGCTACACCCTGCGAAAGTCACCTATCACACGAGAGATACTGTATAACTGAATGCTTAACTTAACATATTTGCATGATTTGCAGATTATACATGGTGATTTAAAGCCGGCAGTGTTTACGGTGACTTTATGCGTCAACAGCATAGATCGAATCACTGCAAGCGAACTTCTTAAAGTGCTGAAAAACCGCCCAGCCAGCTCGGTTACCAATGGAACCTATGGTACTCTATTGGAACTTATTGGAACCGTTGGAACTACTGTACATCGTTTATCTGCGACCTGATGTGATACCTATGGAACCTATGGAACTCTATGGGAACTTATTGAAACTGTTGATACTACTGTACATCGTTAATTGCGACCTGATGTGACACCAGTGGAACCTATGGTACTCTATTGGAACTTATTGGAACCGTTGGAACTACTGTACATCGTTTAACTGCGACATGATGTGGCACCAGTGAAACCTAGGGATCTATATGGGAACTTATTGGAACTGTTGGTACTACTGTACATCGTTTAATTTGCGACCTGATGTGACACCAGTGGAACCTAGGGAACTATATGGGAACTTATTGGAACTGTTGATACTACTGTACATCGTTTAATTGCGACCGGATGTGACACCAATGGAACCTATGGAACTCTATTGGAACTTACTGGAACATTTGGAACTACTATACATTGTCTCACTGCGACATGATGTGACAGAGTTTCTGTTCCAACAGTTCCAATAAATTCCCATAAGGTTTCATAGATTCCACTGGTGGCAAACGAGGGCGCAGTGAGACGATCCACAGTAGTTCCTTTGGGTTCCATTAGCGCTACACTTGTTACACTATTGTCGCCAAAGAACAATGTAAGAACATTTGCAGCAGTGGAACTTATGGAACCAGTGGAACTACCGGAACTAATGGAACTTTAATGGCCCTTCTTACCCTAAACGGGTTAATCTTTGTTTGGATGAACACAACCCACATTTCATTGAAAACTGGTCAAAGCGGCGCAATCCACTGGTGATATTAGACAGTTAGCGCCATCCAAGCCTAGTTGCAATCCATAAGTTTAAAGTTGTCAAACCACCCAAAGGAGCGCCTCATACTGATCTAATGATGGATCTCTGTGACGGTATGTTTGGTTTAGATAATTCTGTACTGCGCTTGGCGGTGGTCGCTCATTGACTTAATATAGCTGGTCACGTGAATTTAAGTACTCATCAATGGAGCCGCCCGCACTAGGCGTCGGCTCCATTGATGTCAAAGGAACCGACAACTAGCGCGGGCGGTCCAGGGGATTTTACTGACCCTTAATATCGTGTCAGTACAGTACCACCGCAGTACTAGATTTGTCGCGCAATTTCCTAGTAGCGTTCAAGCAGTTGGAAAAGATTAGGTTTTTGATTTCTGTCTAATCCTCGAAAAATATTTAATGTTTAAGGCAATTTGCATGAGCTGTTCCAACGATCAAGAAGCGACACTTCCTCTTCGGAGCCATGCCTTCACTTTTCCACAGCTATTCGCTACGCATCGGATATCACTAGAGGCGCAAGCTTTTTGCACCACAACAAAATCATCCACGGTGACCTTAAACCCTCAAATATTCTGGTGAAAGCACTACTGGGTAGCAAGCCGCCACAAGATGCTGCTTATCGCCGATCTGGATGAGCCAGTAATTGGAACCGACACGTCCTTTGATGAAATCACAAGCTTCCATGGAACAATTCATTATCAACCTCTGGAAATGCTTAAAAGATTAGTAATACATTCACAGGACAACATTGCAGTTTCGGGACGGAAAGCCGACATTTGGAGCCTGGGTTGCGTAATTCTGGAGCTGGGAGGTTCTGTTCTTAAAAATGATGAGAAATGGTTGGAAAAAAGCGACTCAGGGCAGTACGAGAAAATCCTGGCAGGAAGTAGCATGACGAGAGTCGAATACATGTTGAAACGGTTGGACGGTTTTGTTCCATTCGTTTCCGGTTTGATTCCAGGATATCTTACGAGCTGCATTCGACGGTGCTTGTCTCCAGATAGCGAACAGCGACCTTTGGCGAAACAGTTGCTGTTGCATTTAGAGGAAGCTGATAAGGAACTGGTTGTCATAATAAAGAGCCATCAGAAAAGTCAGTTTTCGAAAGTCCTAATGCAGTCGTCTGAGCCGCTGACTGGAGCATTTCAACCGTTGTTATGCGAGAGTTTTGGAACACAAGTATTTCTACCATGGTTTCATCCAGCTGGACAATAATATTGTGTGCCAGATATACGATCAATCAAGCAAGGAGCATCACACAGTCGTCCTAGATGTAGCCAAAGAGAGCTTGCATTCTATCGGAAGGGCGGAGCAACTGGGGCTGTTTGGAAAATTTGCTGTTACCGCTGGCGATCATGTCTACTTTTGGTACGAACACAACCTACAAGCTCCCTTTAAAATGTTCGACAACACCAGTTTTTCTCTATCCCTGCTTCCTATGCCGCTTTGGTAAGAGTTCTCGAAGCATATTGAGATGAGCCGAAACGACTTATGATTGTCTTATTGAATGACAATTTGGGCAATACAATTTCTATCTGCATTCAGGTTTAAAACGGCGGACTGCATTGTTTGCAATATGAAAAAATTGTCGTCATTGGAACCTCACCGAAGACGGTTGTTCGAGTGTTAGAGCTCTTTGATGCGGCAACAATGCAGTGGGAACCAGCGGAATCAGTGCTACAACTTCCAGATGACCGTATTGGGTTTGTTGCCCTCTTCTTCAGCAACGAACTGCATCTTTTAGGTGGTCAAAGCAGCTCTGATCCCTCGGCTTCAGCGTTGAAAACATGTTTCCGATCTGACCTTAATAAACGCAACTGAGAAAAAGTGGGTGACCTTCTTCAGGCCAGGCCCATCAGCTATGCGTTTGTTTATGACGGCCAAATATTCATATTCGGTGGGCGCATCTGTGATACAGATTGCTTGTCGCAAACGATGGAAGTGTACGATTCGAGGGATTTTAAATGGACGACCTTCCCACTGCCTGACTTATGCGACTTTGATATGGATCCAGACTTCAATGTTTTTTACGCCGTTAACGCTAAAATTAACTGCAACTAAGCACGGTAACTTTGCACCGTTAAAGGCTGGATTTCATTTTTTCTTTAAAATACCACTCGGTAGTAGTTAACGGCCTTGTCCTATGGTAAAAAAATTCTTGACATTATTAGAATCAGACAATCCAATAAAAATGTTCGATTCCAGCAAAGGAATCGTTTTATTTATCAGACAAAGTTGTTCTGCTATGTACAGAAAGCCTTTTAGGGGCGAGAACAAAACAAACCACCCAATTGCAAGCAGCGCTTGATGACTCAAACCAATATTATGGAAGCTTTAATTAATTCGCTGGTAAACTGCGCTTGCACTCATTTGCAATCGCTTAGTTAGGAGCGTTAAGATTACAGACCTATCGCGGCTAAGAAAACCAATTTTCGAGTGCGAACTGATAACAAAATCGAAAAACTTGCAGGATGATTACTTCAGCCGGGAACTAGGTACTTCCGGGATTAATAATCCTCGTACGTTACTATAAAGTTCTGGCATTGTTAATCACCATTCCTGTGAGTTCGCGTGGCTCCCTCAAGTATAAGCCGCAGTTCATGGTTGCTAAAGAAAAATAAGACGGAGGCGGGAACTTCGAGCTTCCGCCCTCGACAGTAAAGAACTCGGGCCCGTTATTCCAAGTGTGGATATTTCCTGCGACATGCTGATTAGTGCTCAAGGATTCCAGCATAGCCTTAGTTTAAAAATCTCATACCGGGCTTTTCCCTTTAACAATTACTTACTAGGTTAGCTGCCTCCGATTCACATGTTGCGTATTGCGTACCATAGCAAAGTGTTGTTATTTCAAATAATTAAACCTTATTTGATTGAAACTGATGAGTTACAGCTGGTTAGCTGATCTGTTTTACCGGTGTGATAAAAACGGAAGAACTGTGACGATAATCAGTCGTTGATTAGAATTTTCAATGAATTAAAATTTGTTCTTGGACTTTTTGTCGTTCGTTCGATCGTAGCAACCTCTCGTTTTTCCACACAACTCCTCCTCCCCTCGTCCTCCTTCCACACAACGATGCTTCTTGAGAAGCGCAAAATAGTTTTCTGTTTACTTAACATCCAAATTTACGGGAGAATCAGACCACCGCTGTTAGCGTCATGACGCGGCATGCAGCCAAACCACTGTAAACAGAACCCGACACCAGGCCATCTGTAATAATACGATTATGTTCACATCTTCCGGTTGCATGGAACATCACAAGCTATAGTATGTTGAAAGTGTAACAAGGGTATTACGTACAACACAAACAGAGCACTTGACAACAAGGTTTAAAGAACATGTAGACGTATTCGGAAATACGTCCGAATTCAACAATTTCTACAGAAGGTACACTTGCCAATCACATTCGCCGAGTAGCTGGCTTGATCAAATCAAAGTCGCGTGAAAAATTTTATTGGTGACGCCCATACACCTGCCACATTCTGTGGTTACTGTGCAACGTATTGTCACGAGGAAGGTCTAACACCCCCTCGAAAATACATAAATCTGGAGGTGGGAGAACACGGGTCTCCCACAAAAGAAGAGTTTATTGCCCAAATAGGAAAAAATAAAGAAATAAGGAAAAAAGGAACCAGTAAACCGAGCATTTCCATAGGAAATGCATAAATTCTACACCAGTAGCCACCTGGGGCGGCTGCTCCATACATCAAGCACACAGCGTGACAGTATTTACTTAATCTTTGGCTGGTTGCTGAAATAAAGGACCGGCTGTGCACTCATAGCGGCAGTTGATTTGAGGTGAACGTTATCAAATCCAGATACAGTAAAACCTGAATCCTAAATACATTGACGGTTAAGGCCGACGGCGTATTTATTATCCAGGTGAATTTAATTTACAGCCAGATTGTATGTCGCTAGCAGGTTCTTTTACATGGGTTTTCCTATCCGGTTCAAATTAAAAATGTACGTAAGCCTATTATGCAGGTGTATTCACTTTACAGGATTCCTCTGTGTTACAGTCTACGGGACGCGCCGGTTTATAAGATTCCAGCGCATTCACTTCACGTGTGCATTTTTTAGCACGATTACGTAAAGGCAGGTTTGCCTGTGCATCCGTATTACAACAGTCCTCGCAGATCTGATAAGGGTAAGAACTCTGCCGGCAGCGCGACAACTTTACAGTTGCGAGAACTGATGGTGAGCATACAAAACGAAATAATGCAGATATCTGCAGTTAAAATCGGTTTTGTGACTACAACTGCATTCACATGGTTTTGGCACCTGTGATAAGTGATCACAGGAAGCCATTACACGCCAAATACAGAGTGCAGATACGGCGGAGAAGATAGTAGCAGTTTGTGGGACTGCATTGTAATCGTTAAAACATAATTTTATGTGCAAACGTATGTATACCCTTTCTCTGCAACCGCTTGGCTAGCGGAAACAAGGGCCCGCGCTCAAGCTCTGACTCTGACTCTGACCGCTCAAAATCTGACTCTGACTACTCATAGTCTGACTCTGACTGTCCAAACTCTGACTCTGACTGAATAACCTAAGAATAACTTAAGAAACCTAAGAAAACGAAGAAACCGAAGAAACCTAAGAAACCTAAGAAACCTAAGAAACCTAAGAAACCTAAGAAACCTAAGAAACCTAAGAAACCTAAGAAACCTAAGAAACCTAAGAAACTTAAGAAACCTATTAAGAAACCTAAGAAACCTAAGAAACCTATTAAGAAACCTAAGAAACCTTCAGAGACAGAGTCAGACTTTGAGCGGTCAGAGTCAGACTTTGTGTAGTCAGAGTCAGAGTTTGAGTGGTCAGAATCAGAATCAGAGTCAGAGTTGGAGTCTAGGCCCTTCCGGGATAACGTTACTACAGTTAACGTATACAGGCGCAAAGTGTTTAAGAAATCTATTAATTTATGATTTCATCGTTTTTTTTTGTGCCAGCTTTGCAGAATTCGAATGTTTTTCGTTTATAATCAACTATCTTAATAAATTAAATTTATCATGTTAATTGAAACACTGGGTAGTTCTTGCAGCTACGTTTATGACTCCGGATCGTTTATCGGAAGGGGAAGTTTTGGAATTGTATACAAAGCGGCGATTACAGACCGCGGTGACTTTGAAGGAAACACGGAATCGGCAGTAAAAGTTTTGCAGCTCAATTCCGAAAATCGACGAAAACTTGAACAAACCTATGTCGCGCGAATGAGAAAATTGCTGGAATTGGGCCATCCCCATCTGGTTAGGTATCACAAGGTGACCATTTACAGGGACGATGATGATGTGTCTCTTGCCATTGAATTGCTTATGGATTATTTTCCTGGTAGGCTTTAGAGAAACTATCATAATTTTTTCGTGTAAATGATTTTATCGCCTGGTAATTTTTTATCCGGTAATATCTTTTTTTTAGACGGAAGTTTGAGAGAATTATTACACCGAATCCAAAAAACCGGCCGTCCACTGCATCCGGTAAAAGCCATCTGTTATGCTGCGGACATCACAGATGGTTTGACATATCTACACGAGCAGGAAATTATACACGGAGATTTAAAGCCAGAAAATATCTTGGTCGACAGCACAGGAAAACTTTTGATTGGGGACTGCGATGACTTTGTTCAGATTCAAAGCGAAGTCACGGTAACTGGGGACTTAAGTCACATTCGGGGAAGTGTTCGCTACATGTCACCGGAGATGATTAAGTTCGCTGGATTAGAAACACGCAATGTTGGGAGAAAAACAGACATCTGGAGTTTGGGGTGCATTTTGCTTAAACTTGCCCAGCTAACCGTGTCAACCGATCGCAATGGTTACTTGAGAAGGACGGACATTTTCTGAACACGCGGGACCTGGAAGATTATACGGTTGCCCTTCGGATGGGGAATGGTTACATCCCGTTTGTGGATGAGATTATACCACCGGAAGTAGCTGCCTGGATTAGGCAGTGTTTACGCATCGACAGTAAGGACAGAATAGCTGCAAGCGAGCTTCTTGAACTAATAAGGTATAGCCAAGCCAGCACGCTGAGTGTTACCGCCGCTCCGGCTTCACCGAGAGTCACCACAGGCTCTGAGTCAAGCGGACATATTCCTGAATCCGTTATCAACGAGGAATCTTTTGGTACCAACTGTGAGTTCAGCTATTCAATACGTGACCGTATCGGATTCGGTGCCATTGGCCAAGTATATAGAGCAACGATAACAAAACGAGGAAACTTTTCCGGAAACTCCATGGTGGCCGTTAAAGTGATACACCTAGATAACCAAAACCATTACAAATGGTCAAGCGACTCCAATCAGAACTGGCCAAGGCTTCGTAACCGACTAGTGACAATAGTCAATTTTCGCCATCCCAGCCTGCTGGCATACCATAAGTTTAGCGTGTTCAAAACGACGGATGGAGTGCCTTACATTGAACTGATGATGGATTATTGTGACGGTCTGTTGTTCTTGACAAACAGAGAAATTTATATCACTGTACAATAATTTTTGGCTGCTTAAAGTAATTTCGCTAATTTATAAAGGATGTACTTGTAGGCTATGGCATGTTTCGTACTAAAGAAAATCTTGGATCGCTTCTATTCTTCTGTATGATAATTACGGTCTATCGATTAAGCCTTAAAACAAATAATTGATTTTATTTGATTAAAAGGTTTTGTTCTTGCTCTCAGCTTGCTCACCTATCGATGAAATTTCAGGCGATCTGGAAAAACTAATTAATCGATCGAGAAATGGCTCTTCGTCTCCGGAATCGAGCATTTCACTGGCAACGGCTATCCAATATGCCATGGATGTTACCAGAGGCTTAACTTTTTTGCACCAAAATAAGATAATTCATGGTGATCTTAAACCGAAAAACATCCTGGTGAAAGAAGGGAATCGCCATAAAAGGCTGCTCATCGGAGATTTGGACGAGCATTCGCAGATAACGGGAACCGTAACTCGCTTAGAAGATGTGCCACATTTTCATGGAACGATTCGCTATTTACCCCCGGAAATGTTCAAAAGATTCCGAAGAGGCTTGCTAGAAACTATTGATGGCGAAAGTATAAATACCGGACGAAAAATGGATATCTGGAGCTTAGGCTGCGTAATTCTGGATCTGGCAGACTGCGTCCTTAAGAACGAAGAAAAATGGTTGGAAAAGAGCGAGTTAGAGCGATCCGAAAAGGTCATCGCAGGAAGGAGCATCTCCGACCATGTATTCGAAGAGAAGCTGGTGAACGGTTTTGTTCCTGTTGTTTCCGATTTGATACCAAATTACCTCTCCAGCTGCATTCGGCAGTGTTTAAGCCAGGCGAGCGAGGATAGGCCATCAGCGGATCAAGTGCTGACCTTGCTAGAGGAAGCCGAAAAGAAGGTACCGAAGGAACTATTCGTGATATTTCACGGCCATCAGGAAAGTCAAGCTTCGCCGGTGTTAATGCAATCGTTCGAGCCGCTGACCGGCATTCTTAAGCCTTTGTTGTTTGCTGGAAATTTGGAAGACAAACCTTTTGGCAATGGTTTTGCCACATTGGGCAACAATATCATCTGCCAAACACAAGATGATACTAACAAAGAGAGCCATGCCATCGAACTCGATATAGCCAAACAGAGCTGGCGTAAGGTCGACCGAGAAGAACTGGTAAAGATTGGAAAATGTGCTGTTACCGTTGACGATAATATTTATTTCTGGGAGGAAAACGATCTTCAAACGTCGTTCAAGAAGCTTGACACGAACAGTTTTTCAGTATGCCCGCTTCCCATGCCGCATTGGTAAGAGTAATTACAGTTAAAATAATTTGAGATGAATCTGGTTTAATCATGTAATTTGGGTTTTTACTTTATAAGTTCGTTGTTGCTAAGCATTAAATTTCAAAAGAAAATATTTACTGCATTCAGGATTAAGAAAGTGGACTGCATAGTTTCCAACGGGACAAAACTAGTTGTCATCGGAACATCCTTAAGTGATGGTGCTCGATTGGTGGAACGCTTCGATACGAAGAAACAGCTATGGGAATCGTCCGGATCGGTTTTATCGCTGCCAGATGACCGAGTTGGTTTTGCTGCCGTTATTTTCCGAAAAGAACTATACTTGTTAGGCGGTCGGAACGGCTCTGATCCTTCCGCTGAATTGCTGCATACCTGCTTCCGGTTCGAGCGTACCACACGCAAATGGAAAAAAGTGAGTAGCCTACTGCATCCCAGAGCCAACCACTGCGCCTTCGTTAACCGCGATGAAATTTACGTTTTCGGCGGATGTATCGTTGGAAAGAATGGGCTATCGCAAAAGATGGAAGTATATATGCGACAACTTGTCAGTGGTCAGCTTTCCCGCTGCCAGACTTGGATGATGTGGAAACGGACCCCAACCTCAACGTTACGTACGCCGTCAGAGTGGATATCAACTGCTGCCGATTATAATGTTATGTTAACCGTTATCATGATAACACACAGTTATTAATAAATCTGTGTTAAAATATGCTAACAGTTATCATTATATTCTGTTCATAGCGTATTGCTGTTGCTTGCATAGTGCAATGACTTTCATGACATGGGCGTAATAATAGTTAACCAAATGCCGGCAGTATTCACTAACATTGTGCAGTCTGTTATATTTCGCAGTTGTCGTTTGTATGTGTTTTGCTTTGCAAGTATCTTCCCGCCAGAAAGTTCGTCAATATCTTTCGCTTCGCGAAAGCGGATTTTTAAAAATGGCTGCTTTTGCGTTTCACTAAACGTTTAAGGGAACTTGTGTTCCCTCCCCTTTTTGAAAATTTGTTTTGTGAAACTCCATCTGATACTCAAGATTAATAAGACTTTTTAGATGACAAAGACACGAACAAAGACACAAAGACACAAAGTATTTCCTTAATCATATTCCGGAAAAAATTTGTTTTATTGAATTCAAACTAGCTGTCAGCTTATCAGCCAGCCTAGGACATCTCTTAAAAGCGTACAAGCAAACTTAATCACGATGCGCCATATCATCTACTCGATTAGCGCCGGGAAACACGCACATAACACCGGCACCCAGGGAGCGCGTCTTGCTCATCTCCATTTCTAAATGGGTGACGCCGGTAAGTAGCCGTTTCTGCCGTCGCAACAGTTGCGTCAGCACCCCGTAGACGATGGGATTTATTGAACAACCTGTAACCATAATTTATTGCTCATGATTTTATTAATAATAATAATCGAATTACCACGTTAATCTATTGAATGCATTCCTTATAACATAGTAACTCTTAGCAAAGGCATTTTTTAAACGACGACGCACCTATCCACACCCACAAGTCAAATCCCATCCCCACCACCGACTCCAGTCCCTCTAAGCGCCGCACCACAATCCCGTACACCGCAAACGGTAAATAGCACACCATGAAGACTATCGACATCACACAGGCCACCTTCGTCGCCTTTAAATCCCGTTGCAGCCGCCCGCGTTTGGCACTCCGAACCCGCGGTACAACCGAGCATGCTCTGTCCACGCGGCGCTTAACAAGCACCTCATTCACAATGATCCACCCATAACACACAACAACGATCATCAAGGGGATAAAAGCGTAAATAACCTTGCAGAACAAATGATACGTCGTGTCAATCTCCACCAGTCCACACCTATTTCTTGTGGGTGAATAGCCGAACCGCCCTCCGATGGAGAGCAACGGAAATAGATAAATAATGGCAGGAAAAATCCAGCAAGAGATTAATAATGACGTTGTTATTGCTGCAAATCCACATGGATTAATGACAACGAGTAAAAGCCGGTTAATCGCCATGGAACTGTGGGAAAACGCGCAAACCGTTATAAGCAAATAGTAAATGTAAGTATGCGCTAAGCATAGCGGTAGTTTATCCCCTAGATAATTCAGCGGACCTTGGATCATGGTGTAACTGTTTACTGGAAGACAAAATCCGCAGAAAAGGAAAGTCGCTAGTGATAAGCTGATTAATAAAATTTGGCTGGCGGCGGATTTTTCCCGGTATTGCTGTAATTGACGCTTGGTATGCCAGATGCACACAACGCTGCTCACAGTTCCGATGACAGAGAGAACGACGGAAGCTACACCGAAATGAACGGTGTACGATAAAGCGTCCATTCCAATAGCTAATACCGTTAAATTAATAGAACGATCGGTAACACTGAAATTCTTCATTGCAGTTCTTCCAATATTACACAGAATAATCTATAACAAATTACCCAGCCAAAACATTTATAAAATAAATTTCTGGGCTTGACTGGCGTTAGTGGCCATAATTAACAGCAGTGCTGGAAGCGCCTCGGTTTTATCCATACTGAGATTTGCACAAAAGGATCAGTCAATAAATTCGTGATCAGCCGCAATGAAAAATCAGGGAAGGTTAATAAGCACACCCAATGCAAATTGGTTGAGGTATGAGACGCGGAGATCACTGTCACAACACAGGCACAAGCAAACAGTGTAATTTGTCCATCCGATGTAACTGCGCAGCAGAGGAATGCGCAACAATCAAGGGAATTCCTGGATGCCGGTCTCGGCTGGGGCGGCGTAATGGGGCCACACAAACGGTAACACAAGACTGTTCGGACTAAATAGCGGCTATTAAGCGGTTAATTTTCCTGACTTCCGTTTGATAGCGGTGCAGGCAAAGGCTAAATGAGGGAGGCGTCATTTAATACGGGATCCAGAGGGATTTCGCTTCCGGCACATGAAGGAGCAGGAAATGCACTTAACAAAGGGATCACACGCCGGTTGAATGCTGATGTAGATGAAGCTAATGCTAAAGTAATTGTGAGGAATACAGTGCTTGTGATCGTAGTGTCTAATGGAACGTTCTGCGTAATTCTTTAAATTCATATACACCGTATAGGCTTGAATAAAAGATGCATATTGAAAACGTACCTCCGTAAAATCCATGACAATGATCAGAGAAGATGCTCGTGCGTCAAGAAATTAAGTTGACACGATTACAGTGGTTAAACGTAACATGAAAACATACAAAATCATTCAAAATCTACCGAATAATGTTATTTCGTGAAGGCTGAACTCTTTAACCAAGGAAAGGGTAAATATTCCCTGGAAACACTACCATCATGCTCTGACCGATTCGACCACCATTGATGTTGGATTATCTTGGTCCTCTTTGCTCTGTACCGATTGAACAACCGTCACGTTGCCGCTGTGGTCAACGTGTCTGGATCAAGACAACGCAGCTTCTTTCGCGTTTGTTGGTAAATGTACGAGTATTTCTCTCCTTACGGCGAGGTTGGCTCTGATTTCTGAAGCATGTTTAATCTATGGAAGCCTGTTCAATTGAGGAGTGACGAAATCATTAATTATATGACCGTGTTATGTTACAGTGATGCTCATAGTATACGAGGCATGCAGCCATTTTTTACATTCCTGTTTATCGGGTTTCACAGTTTGCCAGACCGTTTTCTTGTCGTGTTTACCGAAACATTTTGCTTGTTGACACGGCATGTTATTCACACAAAGTTTTATACTTGCGTGTTTTGTGTTTTACGTGCTGTGCCGATACAAAATAACAAAATTGGGTACAGGTGCTATAACTTTCGCTTTCACGCACCTCCAAAAAAATTTTTGCCTTGTCTTATGACGTTCTATAGTCCAATAATTTGTTTACTTTGGCGTGAAAACTTTGGCGCAACTTCCGGTTAGGGATTTCTCGGTGAAATAAAATAATAAATTTTTAAACACATGTAGGTGTACCGAAAGTTTCAATTTAAAGTTATGAACCGGTCCCGGACGAACTCTTCAAACTTTGCATAAAAAAGTGCATCACCAGGAACATCGTTTTTACACCAACCAGTTTTTCACCCAGTTTTGGAAATTTTAAAACGAATTTCAAAAATTATTTTAAAATCTAAAAAAAATCGCTTTGAACTGGGAATTTCTTTCGGCTAACTTCCTTAGTCAATGCATAGCAGAGAATCTCACTTGATTCCAAGTGGTTTGAATGAATAACACGTGAACCACGGTCAATTGTCTACGGCTTCTCAGGAATGTTTGAGATTTTTTTAAATTCAACTGAGTTAATTATTGCCTTGAATTTTCAAATAAAAACACAAGGTATTATTTTAGCACGTTTGAACTTTCAAGTTTATACACTTTAATGACATCGAAGCGCTTCTAGAGAAAAAATTTGTCACCTGTTGGCTATTTTGGCGGTATTGCCAGCTCGGTGATAACGTGAATAGATTGATACAAAAGCTGATGGAGACATTTCTCTCCTCCTTCTATTGTAACAACGGTAGGGCGTTCCTGAAAGGCATGCTACTCTAGTAGACAAGCCGATTATCTCCGAACCAATCATGCCTAATGCGACAGCACATAAGCACCGCGTCCAGTGTAATTTGAATGGGCGCTTTGAGCGGCATCGCAGTATTTACTCACCCGCCTCCTATTCTTGCTGTCCTCGGGTCAGTTTTGACTGCGCACACTGGAATCGGATTATAAGCGGCATCCAGTCTGCTGCCTTGGATTATTGATTTTTGCCTCAGCTTCTGCCCACTGCCCACATGTGACATGACACCGCAGTTTTCGTATACCATAGACAGGGGAACATAAGGCAATGGGAAAGTACAGTATGGTTGTGCCTGTAGTAGTATCTTGCGACTTGCACAGTAACTGTAATGCTGTCACGTAATGTTTCAAAGTCCTAATGTATAGCTTACTAATACCTGATGTATGCCCTGATATGCCTAGCCTTTAACCTGACTGTGTCTGTTTATGCCTACTTAAATGACTGTTATACCGTAATGCAACCATTATTATTACAACCATCAGAACCATCACAACCATTAGAACTACGGATGGTACATTTCTTTGCAGCAGTACTAACCAGTATGTTGATTCCTTTTCTTACTGTTTTACTGACTTGCCATCTAACGATAATTTCCTAATAAAGCTACTTCACATGCGCTGCCGGCCGGTCTGGTCGTGACCTTTTCCCGTTCTCTAATTAGCTCTGCCACATTTATCATGTAACAAACTGGTCCGTGTCGACTGAGAAGTACCTGTTGGTTACTTCAGCCGTCAGTTATTATTTGTATTATTGTTTTTTTTTCTTGATGTACGATGCTTTAATACGACGATACCATCATCCCTTCACAGCGGCTGCCGCTGCCACTGCCGTTTGTACTACGCCTCATTCAAGCAGCGTGATTTTCCAAGCGCTAACTAGCCGTAACCGGGAACTGCTGTTTACCCGCGCTTTCCGATTTCGTAATACAGTTAACCATGTTCCGTCGTGAGTATCCTTGACATTTGCCATTTTATAAATTCGGTAACGATAAACCGAGTGCAATATAATCGATGAATTTATTCTTCCGTCACCGCTCGTCTTTTAAATAAAATGTTTCTCGTAGAAAAAAAAAACGTGTCTACGCCCTATATTTTTGCAACAATTGCTAATTCTGTTCTTGGAGATGTATCTTTATGAAAAATAAATTTGCATTGCTTCCGATAAATTGCACTTTTGGTAACCTAATAAAATTTCTGTCATACTTTGATGTCGCAGAGTGGAATTGCAACAAAAATGTGTTTTTTGCTATTAAATCACCGTACATATTCTGAATATGCCGGACTGTACTGTTTCCAAATCTAAGAACATTTAACTGATTTTGTTCTGAAACCAGAAAGGTCATCTGCGTAACAGTTCTCTAATGTTGCTTTTGTATTTTGTTGTTAAAAACATTTTTACATTTTGATTTTTCCATGAACGCTGAATGGGTTAAGTTTACGTCGATCCCGCATCAGTGCTTCCGAAAAACGATAGCTCGTTATTATGATAATCTTTACTTGGCAGCATGTGTTGGCTACGACATTTCTGTCGAACAATCGAACTATCTGTTCTCTGCGCTTGAAAATTAATAATCCGTTAGCAAGATGTATATTTCCTTTCTTCTGTTTTTGGTGACCTTTGCTTTCGGGAAATGATAATACGATTTGCTATTCTTGTTCATCGGTTATCGCCTTGCTCAGATCAGATTTTGACTAGCTGAGTCAGTAAATGTTTATGTGCCCTACCCAGAATCTAGAACTGCCGACCCCACCTGCACCCTCTCTCATTGTCGGACAATTTCAGAAGTTACGGGGCTTGTTTACTGATTACCGATTTGATAATAATGTTCTTTTTCTGAATAATTTCTTTTCTTGTGACCAATCCCTTACCCAACCTAGTTCAACGTTCCTGGCCGTTCCTAAAATAACTTCGAATCTATCTGATTAATCAGACTTGCCGAACCATATTACTAAACGTTTTTTCTTGGTTGTTAAGTCTGCAGCTTTACTGAAATGAATCAGCCCAAAAGAACTGGTAACTATCCTCCCACTGTCCAGTCAGGAGAAGCAGGTCAAAGTTTGGTTGAGTCATTTCTGTTGGCCATGAAATCATCAGGAAAGCTTTGTACACGTCGGCATTCAGTTGCAGTCATGGACCACGAGCTCCTCAAGGACTTTGCTCCATGTAGCCCGGTCGTCGATGTACTAGGGCTTGTTACAGTTATTAAAACTCCGGTTCTGTTATCGATGGTTGCCAAAGTTAACAAATTTTCGAATGAGTACAGTTCTCTTTTGAATCAGCTAAATGCGCCGTCCAAGCCTAAGCGTAAACGCGAAAGCCGTGCGTGTAACTACTGCCACAAGGTTGGTCACCTTTATGCCGTGTGTTACTTAAATCCTAATAGCCGTAATTACAAGCCTGTTGAAAAAGGTACACGTAACAATACCGAAGTTAGTGGTGCACGTCAACAGTCTGCAAGCGGTGAGCATTCGGCCACGCAAGCCAGATCACCGTCATGTTCGGCAAGTGCACCGGGACAGCCACACTGATGTTAATGAGGCTGTTGTATATATGCTTGTATATATGCCAAGTTGTATCGAATTATTTACGAAACACTAAAAAAATGTTTATGTGATTTTTCCGTTTTCAAATTATTAATGTCCTGCCTTAATACTGCTTGTGGATATGCGTTTAGTGCATCGTTTTGTGGGAATATTATGACCGTCTAAAATTTGGTGAAAAAAATAACCTTTTGTTTTAGCACTTAACTTTGTAACCTTTTAATTACTTATCATTTGATTTCATAAAATGTTTGGCTCAAATAATCGACGCATCCGACCAAAGGTACAATTGGTTTTTAAAATGACTGTATGAAGTTTTTTATCAATGAGGGGAAGGGATAAAAGCGACGATTCTGCAAAAGTTAAAATTATTTATCCAGGAAGAAGCATAATGGCGAATGAATTATTTGAAGAAATACACGTGCGCACTTTATGTTTTTGAAGTTTTTATTTTGAGGAAATGCACGTGCTTGTGTTTTTGAAATTTTTATTGTTGAACTGGCCAGAGAATAAATGACTCCGCAAAGCGACGGCACTGGATAGACACAACAAGTAGGTCAAGGTGACAGATTGGACGAACGTTGTGCTCGATGTACATACTTTATTCGCATAGCCTAAAATTACCAGAGTGCGAGTCTGGATTAACGTTTTTTGATATGCAACAAAATAAATCATTGTTAACTCTAGAACTGCAGACTAGAATTTACATTGATTTAAATTAAATATTAATTAAAAGCTTTAGACCGTTGCGCTGTGGGTGACGTATAGCTGTAAATAATCATGTGAATACATGGTTAACGAAAAGGTTGACTTAGTGTTTAAAAGGAAAGTGCACGTTCTTTTTAAAACTTTAGTAATACCTAGAGGGAAAAACTACAGACTTGTCCGGAGAGCGTAGTGACCCAGCCGGGAAAATATTGAATTCTTGTATTTAATCAAAGGCAGAAGCCTCGGAGTCAAGTTAATGTTTGATTGTTTGAAAAGAGTATACTCAGTCCGGCAAAGCTATACCATGGACCGCAGTAAAAGTTGGCAGAATCTTGATGAATCCCCTGTGCAATGAAAAATTGGAAGTAGCGTCTACGCATAAACTTGTTACACTGTGTATCTTAGGTGCACAAAACTGATAATGATTTCGTAATCACGGATTGGTTAATGTAAGGTTGATAGAGCCAAAAAAACAGTTCTTATCTTGGTGCTAAAAAAAGTGCGTTTTTGATATTCTGATGTTCCTAATAACTGTGTATCCGGCAACGGGCAAACCATATTTTAATAAATTTATTGCTTTGACGGTTATTGTTTTATGGTATGCAATTTGTGTATGTTTGTTAAGTGTGTTTTTAGTAATGGAGTTCCGCGAAACGTGATGTTTTTAAGAAGTCTCCAAAAAAAAATAATGAAGCCCGCCCGACGATTCAAACATTCATCAGTCCGAAGTCCAGATTTACAAGTAATGTTCGTATCCTATTCATGGACTGGATGAAGCCCGATAAACGTTGGTTGGATTGGGGAACTCCTCCATAAAGGGAAACCATTTTCCCCGTGTTAAACTTCAGCTCGTGTAAAGTCAGCCGCCGTACATTAGTTTAAATATTTTCAAAAAAAATTTAATTTTATTCGTTTTTGTTTTTATTTAGTTATATTCATTAAGTATCCGTTTAATATTTTCCGCAAAATTCCAAAAATAACAATTTATTAAATTCTTTTCTTTTTCCTGACTACATAATATTTTGTCACAAATAATATTTTTTTAATTAACTAAAATCTATAAAAAAATTATAATTTCGCTACAAAAAAATGTTTTTCCTTTCTTTTTTTATTGATGATTGAAAATTAGCAGTCGAACAAAAGGTCTCTATGCAGCTATGGTGTGGCCGCCCTTTACGATTTCTAGCAGTCACATCACGCGCGTTGGCCTAATGAATTTTTAATTAAAAAAAAAGGGTTTGATTATCAGATCGATAACTCACAGCTATACGATACAGCCGCACTTTATGCAGCATCTGATTACCTATCTCCTAAAAAACACAGTTACGATAATGTCGGTCATGGGTGATGATGTTAGCGGAGCCGCCGCGTTAACAACTTTAGCTTTGGCGCGCAGCACTGGTTAACCGGGTGCTGTGTTCAAAGTAACGCGACATGACTGTACAGCGGAATAAAAAAAACTGGAGATAAGGTTGAATCTCAAAAAGGTGTCGTGCTGATATCCAGTGGCTAAAATATCACGAAATATAAAAAAAAAAATTTTAATTAAGAACAGCTGATTCGCATTTTTAGGTGCCCAATTTTCTTGGTCCTTTAAATTTAATTTTCTTTTTCTCAAAGGGGAAAAGGAATGTGCAACAAGTGCTCATATGCCGCTCTACGAAAGCGTAAAATAGCCCGTGCCAAAAACCGGTTGCATAAGGCATTAATAAACTTCGACTGCTACAGTAACTTGCTACAGTAACTTGCTAATTAATCGAACCACTATAGTACAATGTTATCCGTGCTTAATTCGGTGAGACGATTGCGGTTACACACGGTTGATTAGCTGAGAAGATAAAATTTTAACATTTGAAAAGCTCATACAGAAAATTTGTGAAGTAGCAAAGTCCAACATGAGGAAGCTAATATCTCGTTTAAGTAAATTTCAAACGGCACTAATCAGAGAATAAAGCAGTTTATTTTAAACTTTAAAAAAGGGCATTCGTTTTCTGCTTTTAAAATTATCTAAATATTTAGTACATCCACGGCTGGCTGACTATATTTTTCTCTTATTGTACATACATGTTGTGTTATGACTGTGGACAGTCTGTTTTTGAGGAGAGAAGTGTCACGTAATGTTTCAAAGTCCTAATGTATAGCTTACTAATACCTGATGTATGCCCTGATATGCCTAGCCTTTAACCTGACTGTGTCTGTTTATGCCTACTTAAATGACTGTTATACCGTAATGCAACCATTATTATTACAACCATCAGAACCATCACAACCATTAGAACTACGGATGGTACATTTCTTTGCAGCAGTACTAACCAGTATGTTGATTCCTTTTCTTACTGTTTTACTGACTTGCCATCTAACGATAATTTCCTAATAAAGCTACTTCACATGCGCTGCCGGCCGGTCTGGTCGTGACCTTTTCCCGTTCTCTAATTAGCTCTGCCACATTTATCATGTAACAATGCCATATAGGGAACATACTTTCCGGGAGTTGATTTTTAACGAGTTAAATAAATTAAGCCATATACTTTTCTCACACCTTACACACACGACAATGGAGACCAGTGGAATACGATCGTTTGGTTATTCGGACTCATCGCTGTTCTGTGAAATTTATTCTGGCGCCGACATATATCAGTGGAACGCGGTAGATGTGCCCAATGACGAGCGACTCTTCGAGCGCGGTCTGGTCATTAACACCGTCCCTGACGGTGTGATCGTGGATTTTGGCGTACCTGGCCGGCGCTCGCAGTTCGTCGAGTACAAAAAGGCGCTGCACTGTCTCAGCTCGCAGCAGGAGCATGTCGTAACGGGCTGCTTCTGGGACGAGGAATACAACGGGCAGTTGAGTTATCCGTCATCCCAGGCCAGCTTTGAGATCCTCGCCCGGATAGACCCTGACCGCCCATGGACGTGGTATCCCGCGGTGTTCCTGGTGCGCCGCGTCCTGTGGAACAGATACGCGTATGTTCAGATACAGATTTTCGATTGCGTAGTATCCAAATTCGTCAGCGCCATGGTGGTTCGGTTGGGCCGCCGGCACCGGGTGGTGCGCGCTGTCGGGCCGGATGATTACATCACGCGAGCGTGTCCCCTGCCGCGAAAGTACCGGGCGGGGCGGTCCGTTGAGCCGGCGTTGTGGAATCTGTGGAGGAAAGGCCTGATGTCGGTGCACGTCTGGATGGCGTACCCGACCTGCGTACGCAGTGGAAGGCTGCTGTATCTCCAGGATCGCTGGAGTCCAACGAAACTGATGCCGGTATCTGAAGAAGGACTGGTACGGTCGCACAAGATACGTAGTAAAAATTCAAAAACGCTCCGAGTTAGCCATGACGCACAGACTTAATTAACTGGGATCGAAACCACTGTCCGTTCCAAAGATCACTCTTATAAATCTGGTGTATGTGCCCGAATTTCTGAGAGCGGAAGAATCATTCAAGTTTTCACATTTTCTCTGCAATTTCTCTTTTTACTATGATGTACTTATATACTCGATAAACCACTTAAATTTTCATGAATTTGCAACTTAAGTAAATCAGTTTAATATAACTCAAGTTTGGCTTCCACAGAACACGATTTTTTTATTTGACCAAATAAGAAAAAATGTGCCATAACAAAATTAGCACTTTTAAAATAAGTTTTTGTATCGCGATGGAGCTGTTTTGCTTTGGACTGACCTCGAGTACGTGTTTTGGCTTCAAACAGGACCGGCTGAACGACAGGGCGAACGCAGAGATGAAAAGGCGCCTGCAAGCCGGCTGGACCTTCTCCTATGACCATTGGCTACCGCCAAAACTGCAACCCGGCACCAGTCCCTGGCGAGCAGCTCCTGTACAGGGAGACTACCAAATGGCCGCATTCCCACCGGAACTCTTACGGGCGATTCTCTCCTCCTTCGCTACGAACGAACGGCCGTTCTACCGCCGTGTCAGTCCGCTGTGGAACGCGGTTATCCAGCAGGATGACAGCGACCGATGCCTGACAGTGAATTTCGGCAACGCCGCCACGGCTGCCCGATCTGTCGGTTTCGGCATCGTCCAGTATCTCACCGCTGATACGGAGATGGTCGCCATTTCCAACGCCAAAGAACGTTGGCCGTCGGAAGTTCTTAACGACTGCCTGCGTCTGATCAGCGCCGTGCACGAGCGCCACCGTAAAGGTTCGAAAAAGTTGCAGGTGAATGCTGGCCGTAGCGCTTTGAAATCTTTGTGTAAATAAGTATTAAAAGGAGGATCGAATTTCTTATAATATGTAGTTGAATAATAATATATTAGTTACTTTCGTATTATTCCCCTTTTTACGCTATTTATTTATTTAAAAACGGTATCTGAATTTACTAAATTTATTTTAACAATCAATAATCAATCATAATAAGTGCCAATCAGCGCATCAGATATTTTCGTTTAATTGCGCAGCATCTTTTATTCTAACAGGTTGTCGTTAACCGTTGCTCCTGGGACCTGGCTAACAACCGCCTCTCCATCGAGTTGCCGCGAATGGCCAAAGCGTGTGCCGACGCTGCTGCCGCCCTCGAGCGCATCATCTGGCGCAATTGCCGCTTTTGCGGCATCGGCGGCAACCACGTCGAGATTATTGTGGAGAGTGACGTCACCGTCATCCGCTGCACGCTGGCTGAATTGCAGACGGAGTTGTATGCAATGCTTAAACGGCATTTTAAGGTGGCCCGCATTAGATCTGTCCAGGATGGACCGTTTCTCGCATGGCGTTGAAACTTTAACACAATGATGGACTATTGAAGTGATGTGGGTAGACTCTGTACTCGTACTAAAATAGTAACTAAATTTAGGACAAGGATTTGTACAACTCAAGACAAAAACTGCAAATTGAACCTTCTACCTAACTTCATCCTTGTTATTGAACTACTGAGCGCATAGACCAGACCATTTTAGAACCGGTTAGCCGAACAAAAGCAGAAACGCCTACATTTTCTTATCTGATCTGCTTGATTTACCACATTTATCTGATATATCAGATAAATATGGTTAATCAGGCATATAGTGATGGTAATAGAGAATCGAATTATGCATAGTATTCGTCCGGCATCTTTCTATCTGTATTCATATTGCAAATTCGCGGTTGACGTGCTGAAGAACGGAGAAGCTGTGTACAGTGGATGTACTGGAAAAAAATATTTTTTTTTGAAAAAAATGAATATGCCACAGCCACTGCCGAATTGGCGCTATCAAATGGGCGATATACTGTTTACAGCGCGCATCCGAGGATCAAACTACGATTTTAAAGAACATTTAAATCTTGTTTTCAGAAAGAGCGTGTACCGCAGTTAAACACATCACGTAGGATCTGCACAAGAAATCATCGCATTAAAAACGGGCAAACACAGAAAAAGGCAACGTTTTCTTGGGAGTAACGAAATTTACTGCGGATAAATTGGTTGAAGGATTACGGCGGTTCTTTGCGCTTTTGTCCCGGTCACACCTTAACTATACATCGTGAACGATGTAACTACTCCGTTTAAAACAATCCATTTGCCGCGTCAGTGCGCACAGTGTCATGGTGGTCAGCGTCTGCGGATCGGTACAGCGCAGCTCTTGCGGCGTCCAATTACGTTCTCTTCGGTAAGGCGAATTAGCCCGGTCTTTCTCGTACACCACCAAAATCTAGGCACAACAGGTTGACTGTAAGCTACACTGCGCGTTACTAGAATTAGTGCAGAATCTGACGAACTAGAGACTATATATTAGTCTACGAAACTAGTTTTATTTTGTGACCAAATGAAAGACCAGTTACAAAAAATAAATTCTAGTAAGTTGGTCAGACGGATAAAGAATAAATACCTCGAGTTTACTTTTCCTTCTACTGGTCTGAAATTTACCTTTTCGATAGCGAAGAAGCGTAGTGAGCGCCTGCCGGCTTCGACGCACTCGCTAATCCATTTTGTCGCAGCCGGCAAGCAGTGCTCTCGGGGCGGCAGCTGCCTTTCTATGAGGGCGTAGAGAATCTCCACCATCATCGCAGAATCCTCTTCCAGCGCGAGCCTTTCGTTGACAACCAGCTGCTGCCCGACATGGGGACCCAATCCAACCAATCGGCAGTTTCGCAACACTACGCTCGTTACAACCGCGGCACATTGTCGCAGTTCATTGGCGCTTTTCAGCACTTCATTGTGGAGAATGTCCGCGCCCCCCAGATTCAACCGGAAATGGCTCCAATATACTCGCGGTAGGTTCCCCGGCCGTTGCGGCAGTTGACTTTGCGCTGCCGCAAGGAGAAACAGACAGTCAGGCAAAACGGAAACGGAATTATTGGGTCCATGTTCGACCGCAGTAAAGATCACGCGCTGGGTTGATGCAGTCACGCACTGGACTATCGCGGACCCGATAACGAAAGGGGAATTTTTAGAGACATCAATAGTCATCCATAAATTGGTGGAACGATCGGAGCAACTGATTAAGGCGTTCCACAATATGGAAACCCGACGCAGTCTGGCGCATTGGATCGTGTCCAGAGCAAGGAAGACGCACTCGAGGACATGCAGAGATAAGACCGATAGAGTTGTAATTTCTGTGGGTGGAAGACAGACGGGCGCCATCTTTGGAGGGTGCTGCCAGTGGCAGCACCCCTCAACCAACGCAAATTCTTTTTTTAAACGCTCCGCTTTCGTTGTCAAGTATTCCTGTTGGAGTTGCAAACAAGCGATGCATTACGTACAACTCAACACACGAACACGCAAAATTAAATTACAAATTGGTAAACTAGCAAAAAATTTTAAGTTTAACTTACTTTAAGTTAAATAATTTAACTATAATTATCTTGAATTCTAGGTAAATTTTTGTTTAAAATTTATTTAAAGCAAAAATCCTTTTAAATTCAGATCAACGGCACATTCAGATTCTGAATAAATTTACTTCTTACACCTATAGTATTTTCCAATATCCAAATTGCCGAAAGATAGGTAAACATATTTAAAAAAATTATTAAGTGGAATGATGGCAATTGTTACCAGGTAATTGGTAGTGATTGGGCCTTGCTCTTCGCCGTATTCCGTCAGAAACAGGAGTTTTCCATTTTCCACACGCAGAGGGTGAATATTGTAGTATCTGAGCTCCTGGCTCCACAAACCCCAGAGAACCGGATCAGTGGTGGTATTTTCATCATAATTGACGGGCAAGGGACAAAAACGGACGCAGAAGCGTGGTGCTTCGGCCACGTTTTTCCGTGTGCCCCGTTGAAAGTTCTCCAGCCGTACCACTTTAACATTTACCAGTTTATTGAGGATCTTGTCGCTCAGTTTAATGCGAATAAACATATAGCAGCTCCACAGCATCCGCGGCAAGATACACCATGCCGGGTACCAGGTCCACGGGCGGTCGTTTGCGGTTCGGGCTAGAACCTGCAGGTTCCATTTCTCCCCGTTTTTCTCATCCCGCGTTAAGAAACGAGGCCAGCGATTGCCTTGAGAACTGCGAAATGTCCGTGCTGTATTGGGCTCCACTAACTGCGAGCGTTGCTGGCCCAGGCAGTCAAAGTCCACGAGGAGCCCGTTACCGGGCGCGTCGACCACCAGACCATACTGCAACAATCCATCGGGCCCCGGCATATCCACTGCGTTCCACCGGTAGATGTCGGTTCGGGGAAATATTTCCAACATTTCTGCTTACTAATTAAATACTACGTTGCCAAATTAACCCTGCTTTTGTATCAAAGCGAGTTTTTTTTTAAAATACGGAGGAGTTATGAGTATAACATGTGTGTCGAACTCGGTGAGTTGTAGAAATAATGATGCGCGTGGGTCACGATCTGGCAGTGCACGCTGTCCGTAATAAAGGTTCTGACACACTTTAGATAAAAAAGCTGAAGTTTTATCAATAAGGTGTAAGCGGATTTTGTCACGGGTGCATTTATTTGTAACAATGTCATGCCAAAGTACCAGCATCCGTTTAAGGCTTCTGTCTGCAGTTACCATACGATTTAACTAACAGGATGCCACCCCTTCTTCCACTAAAGCACGATCACTCGTACAATAGCCATTCCGGCACCTTAAAAAGAAGGTGCAAAGATGAATGCCCAGACAAAATACAGGCTACCACATTTCGGCTTACATATGTAATAACAGAGCCGATGGACACTGGATACCACCGAAATTCCATTGCGCTAACAATCTTCCCGGAGCATGTCACCGGCACAAAACTGATTTCAGATGGTGCCAGCGGTTCAACCGGAAATCTTCGAGAAATTCTTTCCTGCTTGGCCGCGAACCGCAGAAAGAGTTACATGGCACCTTTGATCGTAAACCTTTGACTTGCTGAACTTCTTGTCGGCAACAGGCGTCCGTTACGTATAAAGATTAGGTACTTTCAGTTCTGACTGCCTTATGATAATGCAGCCCAACAGCCTGTGCGTCATGCTCCTATGTGTCATTCAGAGATAACGCAAGCGTTGTGCATTGGTTTCTTGCAACAGTCAACCCATGCCCACTTTAAGGCAACACTGCCTAACGGTAAATCTAGTCTCGACTAGATTTTCCATTGGGCATCGTTGACTTATCCATGCATTGTGCGTGTTACACGTTACACGTTGTACACGGTGAGTGCAATGCAACTGCACTGCATTGCACGTTTAATAATGCGGTTAATACTGTATGTCTGGCGTCGATAACACAGTAACTGTGTTATCGACGCTGTGTAATAACAAATTTAGATTTAACATAATTACGAACGCAGAGGGATGCATATGCTACCGAGATGGCATTCATTACTAATTAGGTGGTAATTTCGCGCAATAATTATTAATTAATTAAGCAATATTAAAGCTAACTAGATAGTCATTCAAGACGGCAGTAATTAGCTTACCGATGTAATGAAGATAATTGGATATACAGTAAACATTTTGCGCTCTTTTTTTGCGTGTGCGATGTGAGGATGCATACTGTAAAGTACATGCACTCGGTTGTTTATCAACAGGCTGACTTAGTGTAAGTTCGGTCATTCACTTATCGCGGCAGTGACAGTTGGTATGTTATCGCATTATTGGGTAGTTTTTTACGCGTCATTTGTTGTTACTCACAGCAGCTTGGCTTTCTGTAAGGCTGACTTACGATAAGCCAACAGAAATGAATTTGTATATTAAATCCTTTCTACATTCACCAAAACTCAAGCCCCGAGAAACTTCGCAAAAGCTCACGCTCCTGAGCTGTCATATTTAAATAATACCTTCTGGCAAATCTGATTATGTAACAGCAACGATTTTATTGTTGGGAGATTCTGCCAGCAGGTAATCAATAAAATTTGATATCGCTATCAAACACAAAAACATTGTTGTTAGTTGCAAATGGCTTCCTGGAAAAAAGGTTTCCCAACTTTGCCTCCTTGCGTTTCGAAGCAAGTTCAAGCAACACACAAATGATTTCTGTAACTTTTGTTGCATAAGCCACTATGAAATTATCCAAGGAAATACTGCACCGACATAAGAAGTACTGTAAATTCTCGCGTTTTAAAACTTTTTTTTATATACTCAACTACTGTTCAGTAAAAGCAGGTACAATTTGGGTTTCGTCCGGCATGGATTGAAAATTTTTTTGAAAAGTTACACGTTAACTTGGCATAATTCGCCCAAAGCCGGATTGCCACCGTGTAAATGGCGTGCTGTATGGACATTTATATTCATATTTGCTCTCCCGAAATTATGACTCAAGAATTATTGACATTGGGTTTTTTATCTCACAAAGATATGCATTTTGTGTAGCCGTGCAGTGGATACATATACATATACATACGAGGGGATGACGGTAGCGCGTTTCAGCACTCCCTGTACATGCTGCCGTCAGCCGGCTGGAACATGACGTT